GTCCTTTTTGTCCCCAGAGAGAAACTGTGTTTCATGCTTTTATGGACTGTTTTAGGCTTTGCTCTTTGTTTGAAGTTTTAAAGACTGTTTTTAGGTCTCTTAATGTGACTTTTACACTCCAGACTTTTATCCTTGGTTTTAAATACGTCAGAAGAGAGAAATCCAAATGCCAACTGATCAACTTCATTCTTGGGACGGCGAAAATGGCGATATATATCAGTCGTAAAAACAAGGTGGCGCATGATACTGACTGTGAGGCCACAAGGATTCTCTCTAGGCTGGTGAGATCAAGGATTTTAATTGATTTTAATTATTATAAGAGCATGTGTGATGTGGAGGCCTTTGAGGCGATGTGGTGCTGTGGTGGGGCCGTGTGCTCAGTGTGCGAGGGTGAGCTCTGCTTCGCTCCTGAGCTCAGATGAGCCGGACTGGGTTTTATTTGTTTTCTTGTTTTTATCTATTTATACAGTGTTTGTCTTATTTTTATTTAATCAATTAATTTATTTCAATATAGTCTAAGATGACACATTGTGACGGATGACTGTTTTAAAAAAAATGCTGGTTCAATAAAGGACCATCAAAAGTCTCTCTCTCTCTCTCTCTCTCTCTCTCTCTCTCTCTCTCTCTCTCTCTCTCTCTCTCTCTGTGTCTCTCTCTCTCTGTGTCTCTCTCTCGCTCTCTCTCTCTGTGTCTCTCTCTCTCTGTGTCTCTCTCTCGCTCTCTCTCTCTGTGTCTCTCTCTCGCTCTCTCTCTCTGTGTCTCTCTCTCTCTGTCTCTCTCTCGCTCTCTCTCTCTCTGTGTCTCTTTGTGTCTCTCTCTCTCTCTGTGTAGATGTGTTTGGAGAGTTTTAGCAACTCCTGTTTACCATACATCATAACTTTGACACACAGTATTCAGTCCCCACCTGTTATTTCTCTTTTTCTCTCTCTCTCTCTCTCTCTCTCTCTCTCTCTCTCTCTCTCTCTCCCTTCTGACTCTCTCCCTCCCTCTCCTTCTCTCTGTTTTTAGCTGACCAAAATGCCAGGGCTGGGCAATATGACAATATTTATCATTATCATGATAAATTACATCTCAATATGTCGCTATATTCTTTTCTGAGTGTATCGTGGATAACGTCAGTGCTTAAAAACACTTCCCAACTGCGCAACTGATTAAAAAGAAAGTCCTGTTTTTTCCCATTTTTCCCAATTTAGTTGTATCCAATTCCACTAATTAATTTGGACTCCCCCAATCACATGATACCACCAACACTAGGAGGGCGAAGGCTAGCACAGGCTTCCTCCGAGACCTGTGAAGCTCCACTGCATCTTTTCTAACTGCTGCTCACGCAACTTCATTGAGCAGCTGAATGCGCTTGGAGGAGAACACTAACCACCAGTTCTGCCAGAAAGACTCAGGAGGCAAAAGTGAAGGAGGGCAATGTTTTATATCCTCAGTGGAGTTTTACAAGTTGAAAAATAGCTCAGTAGAAATTAAAGAGTCTTTGGCGCAGGCCCCATCCTCAATCCAGGTCTTGGAGCGTCGAGACCCTCACTGATCCTGCCAGATAGAGATGGCAGGGGTGGAGCCTACCCCCAGACAGCCTGACACGGACCCTACTGGTGGTGGTGGGGAGGAAGGAGGGGAACGTCAAAATATAGGCACCCGAAAGCAGCAGAATAGGTACACAGGTCAAGTCATTGAAAGACAAGTGTAGGCCGGTGATTGGTCAGGATTAATGACTGACGTAGCATCAGAGTCTTCCTGGTGGAACTTTCACTAAAGCTTCCAGTTGTGTTACATCAGCTAACAGACGCCTGCGCTGGCTGGCATCGTGCTGAGTGGCGGGGGAGACAGGGGGCCATCCTACCCACCCATAGAGAGCAAGGACAGCTGTGCTCTCTTGGACTCTCAGACTGTCAGCCACGGATGGCTGTAGCATCACCAGGGATCAAACTCATGTTCTCCTGCCGATAGAGCCAACGATTAGCTGGTTGCCCCACTCGGGAGCCCTAAAGAGAGTCCTGTTTGGTTGGATTTAGTGCAGCACTGTTTGTGAAAATTCACTGGATTCCGTTTCGGATTGTTACTTTTTTAAAGGTGGTGCTACTTTGTCTATTCCAACTTATCAAATGTCAGAAAAAGTAAATATAGTGATGCATATTGTGTATCGTGAAAACCTTTTAAAGTATCAGGATATTCATTTTGTATTGCACCTCTAAATAGATAGATAGATACACGATATTGCCAAAAGTATTCGTTCATCTGCCTTCACACGCATATGAACTTGAGTGACATCCCATTCTTAATCCATAGGGTTTAATATGATGTCGGCTCACCCTTTGCAGCAATAACAGCTTCAACTCTTCTGGGAAGGCTTTCCACAAGGTTTAGGAATGTTTATGGGAATTTTTGACCATTCTTCCAGAAGCGCATTTGTGAGGTCAGACACTGATGTTGGACGAGAAGGCCTGGCTCTTAGTCTCCGCTCTAATTCATCCCAAAGGTGTTCTGTCGGGTTGAAGTCAGGACTCTGTGCAGGCCAGTCCAGTTCTTCCACACCAAACTCGCTCATCCATGTCTTTATGGACCACTGGTGCGCAGTCATGTTGGAACAGGAAGGGGCCGTCCCCAAACTGTTCCCACAAAGTTGGGAGCATGAAATTGTCCAAAATCTCTTGGTGCTGAAGCATTAAGAGTTCCTTTCACTGGAACTAAGGGGCCGAGCCCAACTCCTGAAAAACAACCCCACACCAGAATCCCCCTCCACCAAACTTTACACTCAGCACAATGCAGTCAGACAAGTACCGTCTCCTGGCAACCACCAAACCCAAACTCGTCCATCGGATTGCCAGACGGAGAAGCGTGATTGGTCACTCCAGAGAACACGTCTCCACTGCTCTTGAGTCCAGTGGCGGCGCTTTACACCACTGCATTCAACACTTTGCATTGCGCTTGGTGATGTAAGGCTTGGATGCAGCTGCTCGGCCATGGAACCCCATTCCATGAAGCTCTCTACGCTGTTCTTCAGCTAATCTGAAGGCCACATGAAGTTTGGAGGTCTGTAGCGTTTGACTTTGCAGAAAGTTGGTGACCTCTGCGCACTATGCGCCTCAGCATCCGCTGACCCCGCTCTGTCATTTTACGTGGCCGACCACTTCGTGGCTGAGTTGCTGTCGTTCCCAATCGCTTCCACTTTGTTATAGTACCACTGACAGTTGACTGTGGAATATTTAGTAGTGAGAAAATTTCACGACTGGACTTGTTGCACAGGTGGCATCCGATCACGGTACCACTCTGGAATTCACTGAGCTCCTGAGAGCGACACATTCTTTCACTAATGTCTGTAGAAGCAGTCTGCAGGCCTAGGTGCTCGGTTTTATACACCTGTGGCCATGGAAGTGATTGGAACACCTGAATTCAATGATTTGGATGGGTGAGTGAATATTTTTGGCAATATAGTGTAGATACAACCTTATAGTCATTGCTCAGTACAAGTACAAGGCAACCAAATGCAGTTAGCATCTACCAGAAGTGCAAATAGTACCAATAGTGCAAAACAGACAGTGTAAATGTGCAATAATAGGCATAAATATAACATATCTATGAAATATAAATGAAATAAATATATGAACAATATATACACAGTGGAGAAACAAGTGGCGAAATTGTTGGGAAGTGTGTGAAAACTCTGCACATTCAATTCATACCGCATTTGTGTTTGTAAGTAGAAGAGGTGATATTTTATTCTATTTTATTTAACACTTTTATTATATTTTATTTAGTCAGTAACCGTGATTAAGTTCCTACATTGGCCAATACAAAACCAGAAAATGGACACATTAGATGACCTCTATAAGATAATGACCCATAGCCTGTTTGGTCAGATTCTGAAGAAGAAGGTGACCACAGACCTACATCAAATTCCAAACTAAACAAACTGGAATAAGCCAGAATCCAACAGAAAACAATTCAGCAAATGTGTCAGGCTGTGAAACACTTTACCGACTGTCTGTAAATGAGAGACATTCAGGTTCATCTGCAAATATTAAAAAAAGCTGATATTGTGACAGTTTATGGCTCTATCTGTGACTCAGATGGGCACTACTTTTTTGGCGGAAGGATTTGCGGATATTAAAACACGTGATAAAAGATTCAAGACTTGTTTGCTTTACTATTTTCTTTATTTTGCAGAGCTGTTGTATAAAAGCAGTAGAACGCTGGGGGTCGTGTGTTGTGGTGAGGAACCACAGCTGTGCTACGACACAAGTTCCTTCTCCTGTTCTGTTGCTTAATAGAATTTGATGGAGAGTTGTTAATGTGTGTGGAGCCTTGTTTTGACATCCTTTACTTTTCTGACATGGTTTTGTAATTTTTTTGATGTCAAAACAAACAAAATGGTCAGAAGTGCAGAATGTAAATCAAATGTAAGCGTGCAGGTGTATGCAAAAGTTAGTGTACCCCTGGACAACGATGTTTTGTTGATTTTGTTCGAGAAAATAAGTTAACTTCTTCATGGATCACACCTTTTAATGCACAATTACGGTTTATTTGCTGACTTTAATCTACTGGAATAAAGCAGAAAATATGGCCTGTGCAAATAATAAAAATGATATATATATATATATATATATATATATACAGGAAATCAACAAAACACGGCATTCAACTGTAATGCTAAATTATGCCATAATAACATAAATAAGATATCGCTGCTTGTCTGTAAATTTCATGATGAATGGACCAAAAGAAACGGCCCAAAATGACTTGGAAAAAAGTCTGGTTCCATTGACTTACATTGAAAGTAAAGTATGTTTTTTCCTTCTCCTGTAAAGTTACCATTTTGGAGATATGAGGTTTTGTTCCGACAACGGTAATATTTATGTATTAGAATTAAATTTTGTGTTATAAATGAAAAAACTGTATTGAAGTCTTGTGCTGAAAATGCAATACAGTGTATTATTACAGCAGCATAAATATTATAAACATTCTGCCATTTTATGTTTGCCCCCCCCCAACAGCGAGGGATGGACAGTCTGTCCATGAAGTCGTCGGACAGTGATGTAAGCGACGTGTCCGCTATGTCGAGCGCGTCTCGGCTTAGCAGCGCGAGCTACATGTCTGTCCAGTCTGAGAGGGCGCGGGCCACTCGCAGGATCAGGTAGGTGCATTCCGACCTTTGACCTTTTGGTCCAAGTCATGGACCACGGAAGGGTGGGGTGTGGACCACCACACTGATTTTTAAAGTGGCCTAAAGAGGCTGTCACTGTGTAACTATCACACGTTTTATATATATATATATATATATATATATATAGGCATTCTTGGAGTGAATATACCATCCTACCCATTCAGTTACATGAAAATAGAGGTGTGCGATTTACAGTAGGGGTGGACAGTATGAATCAGTATTAATCATTATCATGATAAATTGCATCAGGTCACAATATGCTTTCCTGAGTATGTTGTAGATTTCATCAATACTTAACACTGACAAACTGCATGTTTCATTACAAAATGAACATTAATAGTCCTGTTTCATTAGATTTAGTGCAGCATAGTCCATGAACCATTAAACAAAAGTCATTGTATTTAATTATATTTAATATTTTGATACCGCTTTTATATATGGCACTACTATTTTTTTTTGTTTTGTCTGTTGTAGCTCCTCAAACTTCAGAAAAGATAAATATCAGGATGCATATTGTGTATCAAGAAGATGTCTTAAAGTATCGTGATGTTATATTTTTGTCATATCGCCCACCCCTAACTTATAGGCCTACAGGGTTTTACCTTAAAGTAAACACAGAATCAACTTCACTGCACCTGTGGTTTAATTCTGTGAGCATTTGAATTTGACCACTTGATAATTCAGTGTAATTGCTGATGCTCGGCCTCAGTTACCAAAAGCATATCCCGTGGTCTGTGGTTCCCGTCATGAGCAACACCTCTCTGTGCTTGTAATGAACTCCTCTGTCCGGTTCTGGTGGAGATCAGGTTTGGTTCTACTTGTTTTAAACTGAACCAAACAGTAACGTCAGTGAGTGTTTCTCCATGGCTGGGAGAGCAGCAGGTCTGAGCTGAGTTCGGCGCTCATATTCGAGGAATACTTCATTGTTTCCCCCTTTATGTCCTCAGCCAGGACGTTTGGTGTCTGCAGTCTGTGTCTTTAGTTTTGCAACAAAGGCTAATTTAGCTAACGAGTAACAGAAGCTTATACTCCACCAAATAGCTAAGCTGTAGTCCAAGACCATGACACATCCACACTCGATACATGATGCACTCTAAACCTTCTTAGCTAGAACACTATTTAGGGAGTACAGAGCCGTTTGGGACTCAGTCTGGGTTTGATGCGACTTCTTTCATACTGTCGTTTAACAGTTAATCAAACCATAAGTGCTTTAATTCAAGCCTGTGATATTAATGATGGAGCTGTTTAGGCTGTTGGCTCTTTTAGCCTGTTAGCTAGCTGACCAGCCCAGTTCTAGTTAAGAACATAAGTTGTCAGCCCCTCAGTTTAAACAAACAACAGCTTCTTACTCTATCAATATACTCTGTGGTCCATGTGAGCAGCATTAGAATCAAAGATTATTCATTAACAACATGGGTGTTTTCGTGCTGTGAGGTGGTCATATGTGTGCGTATATTGTGGAATTTACACCGGCTTCAGGCGCAGCTCAGCCAGTCAGATTTTAGGACCGGAACTATCCATTTTAGATGTTCTTCTCTGTGTAATGCTGATCTTTGTAGTCTGTAAGTACTAGTTCTCAACTACCAGGTAGCCTAAGCAGAAGGTTTTATGGACGTAGCAACAGTAACAAAGGGACGGTCAGTAAATGGGGTAAATTGTTAGCAGCATAGCCTCGTAGCACCAGCGTAAAACTAAGGAAACAAACTGCAGACACCGAGCGTGTCCTGCCTGATCCACTGCATTTGAAGGAAGGGGGGAAACGCTTTCACCGAACTGTGTCTTAAAGCAGCGTGAAAGCTTTAACACGGGTCCTCTGCTACAGAAAGAGCTTAATGTTGACGGGCCACTTCTCTCGAGTTTCTTTCAGGTGGTCTCCACTCACTCCCTCCATCACTGCTCCGATCGATTCTGTTGTTTGTCATAACTTAAACGGATTGTGTGGGCATGTCTGCATGCTCACTGCCGTCTCTTCTCTCTTCTGTCCTGCATGCTTCGTTCGGCCTCCGTCTGCATCTCTTTGTGTTTGTGCATGTGTTTGTGTGTGTTTGTGCATGTAGCCGTGCCGAGGCGCTCCAGCAGAGTCAGTCTCAGGGCGAGGAGAACGCTGGTGCCGCTGCAGCAGAGGGGGGAGCGGGAACCACAGGAACAGCCGGAGGAGCAGAGGGGGGAGGGTCCGGAGGGGCAGAGGGAGGTGGTGAGGAGGCTGCTGAGGAGGAAGCAGGGGAGGAGCCGGACAGGTCAGCATCACTAGAGAACGGCAGATTAAACGTCCAGCATATGTTTGTTCCACTGTAGCTGCTGACCAGTGATTCCCAGCATTGTTCAGTGTTAAACTGCTGCAGGACATCTAGACATTGCTATGTCAACTTGCTACACTCTTGAAAAAGGTGGTTCTTCAGGGGTTCTTTAGTAAAGAAAATGGTTCTATGTAGAACCATTAACACTCAAAGAACCATTTCCATGATTAAAGAGTTTAAAAAGGTTCCTAGTAGTACCAAATAGGGTTCTACTGTTGATACGATACAAGCTTGTTACAGTAGAAGAACCCTTTTTGGTGCTATATAGAGCCATTTCTATATAAAACCATATAAAACACATTCTCCATCAATCTGAAGAACCTTTTCTTGATGCAAAGTACGCTTTATTCATGCAAAGGGTTCTTTGAGTATTCACCGTTCTATATAGAACCATTTTCTTTACTAAAGAACCCTCGAAGAACCATCTTTTTAAAGAGTGTATAAAAGAATGTTTTGAAAAAGGTTCTGTATAGTGCCAAAAAGAGTTCCTCTATCGTTACAAGCTTGACATTTTAACAATAGCAGAACCCTCATTGGTGCTGTATAGAACCATTAATCTAAAGAACCATTTAACCATGCAAAGAACCATTTAGGCATTGTTCAGTGTTTAATTGCTGCAGGATGTCTAGACATTCCAACGAAGTCAACTTGCTACACTCTTAAAAAAGATGGTTCTTCAAGGGTTCTTTAGTAAAGATGGTTCTACATAGAACCATGAACACTCAAAGAATCATTTGCATGATTAAAGAGTTCTTTGCATCGCAAAAAGTTCTTTAGATTGTTGGAAAATGTGCTTTATATGGTTCTGATAGAACCTTTTTGGAAAGGAGTTTATAGAGCAGCAAAAAGGTTCTTTGATTGTTAAAAAAGCTTGACGTTGTAACAATAACAGAACGCTTTTTGGAGCTATATAGAACCATATGCATCACATTCTTCATCAATCTGAAGAACAGTTTCACCATGCAAAGAATCTTCTGTTGTTGCAAAGTCAAGCTTGTTACAATACAAGAACCCTTTTCAGTGCTACATGGAACCCTTTTCAAAAAGGTTCTGTATAGAACTACCTACAGTACAAGACAGAAGTCTGATTTACTTGTTTAAATTAGAACCGTATGGGCCCCTGCTTCAGCCGTGTACTCGTCTCCGAGGCAGACAGGATCTGAATGTTCTCTTCTCCACTCTACATTCTGAAAAAAGATGCCTCTTCAAGGGTTCTTCAGTAAAGACAGTGGTTCTATAGAGAACCATGAACACCCAAAGAACCATTTGGATGATTAAATGGTTCTTTGCATGGTGAAATTGTTCTTCAGGTTGATGCAGAATGTGTTGTAGATGGTTCTATACAGCACCAAAAAGTTTTCTTCTATTGTTAAAAGCTTGACATTATAACAGCAGAACCCTTTTTGCTGCTGTTTAGAACCATAGACCACACATTCTCCATCAATCTAAGAACCATTTCTCCATGCAGAGAACTGTTTAAGCATGCGTCCACATAGAACCATTGTCTTTAGGAAAGGATGCTTAAAAAACAATGGGTAACACTTTACTGGAGGGTGCTGTTCATAAGGCTACAAGACACCTACATAAGGTTGTCATGACAACTGACATAACCCTACATAACTGTCCATAAATGCTTATTACAACTGGCATCGTCTGCTATAAAGGCTACTTTTGCTAACTTTGATCAAAATTGGCTAATTTAACCTTATAACAAGGTTAAACTGGTACAGCCAATAACACTTATTGGAATAACCGTTCATAAACAGTTATGTAGGGTTATGTCAGTTATCATGACGAGCTTATGTAGGAGACATGTAGCCTTATGAACAGCACCCTACAGTAAGGTGTTACTGAACATGTCATGAATCTGACGTAGACTTCTTCTTAGGACCTTTCTCAAGAACACTTTTAAGAACAAACTTAGGAACCTAATGGAGAATGAGGCCCATTAATCTTTTATAGACAGTGTAGCGTCTGTGGAAGGTAATCACCCTAATGGTGTAGCCTTACCAATTTGGCTCAGGGCAAAACATAAACAATGGTAGAGGTTTTATTTAGAACAGAGACATTGTGGCTTGGAGTGTCTGGATGTCGGTGGATGCTCCACAGTGTGGTCTTAAGTGTTGTAGTTCTGTCTGAATGTCTGAATCTGAGTCTGCATTTGTACGTGTTTGTGATTATGACCATGTTGGAGTGCTGTATGTGTTTTTATACAACAGTTAGTTCCGGCCACGCGAGCTGATTGGTCGAAAAGCGTTCTAACCGTGCTGTTATTTCACCATAACATCACGATAACACTATCACTCCGCTGAGACGCCGTTGCTAAGCAACGACTCTGACAGCTGTAGGAGACGCTCAAGCCATTTGAACGTTTTCACTTCTTACTTTGCCACAAACAGAAAATGGACGCTTTCAAGATCACATTTGACCGACAGCCGATTTGGTCAGACTCTGAAGATGAGACGACACTAAATTCCCAAACTGTCATCACCACTGAGCAGCTTTTCAGTCGGCAGCTGTGACAGAAGAACAGCTGAACAACCTGGAATCAGCCAGAAATGAACCCAACACCATTCGCCAAACTAAATGGGCTGTAAGATGCTTTACAGACTGGCTGGAACAAAACAACATTAATACTGATCTGGCAGAAACTGACAAAACTGAGCTAAACCT